AATTACACCCTCATTTTTATTTTTAAAAAAGAAAAAATTATATTATTTTTAAATAAAAATTAATCATTTTGTCTAATTAACAAAATTTGTTTTTTAAGATAATATATTTTTTATTATAAATTAATATACAAAAAAAATATTATAATCACTTAATGTTATTAAAGGTAAAAAAACAAAACTGAAATTTATTAGATAATTATTAATTAAAAAATGTGACCACAAATTAAAAAATTAAAATAGATAAATTTATCAATAAAATTAAAAACTTCTAATCCGCTAGCGGTTTGGTACAAAAAACTACATAAACTAGCTTTTTCAATCCGCTAGTGATTTGGATCATAACTGCTATCCGCTAATCTAAAACCACTAAATAAAAATTTTACCAAACATTTTAGTTATAACGGTTTCGAAATATATAAATTTACCAAACACCTATATTTAGTGGTTTAGGTAAAACCACTAATCGTTACTCCAAAACCGCTATACTAAACGGGGTGCACTAAACTAATATAAACTATGTGCTATTAAAATTATTACTCAAAGAATTAATGTTAAGAACTTGTAGGCTATACCTTAACTGTTAAAATAATAGTCTTCATAATTAAAATGACTTTCTCACTAAATTTAAAGGCTTTCACATTCTCGTAACAAAAATTTAAACTTGTTTTTATGCCTCTCCTCATTGCTTTCTCATATAGATTTGAACCACTTGTTCTAGTTGGTGTAGAAAAAAAAATGTAAAAAAAAAAAATCAAAATACTATACGGTCACAATTGATATGCCGAGACAACTTTTTTACAAAATTGAGACCTTTTTTTAGAATGAAACTGATAATAAACAAACGGGGGTAACATTGAGTCCTGACTCTTGAGATGTTGACAACAACAAACAACTTTGATTTTTTTTTTTTTTTTAAAGGACTTTGTAAATACCATAATTATTAATCTAACTTAAAATCTATAGAGGAATTTTTTTAAAGTCTATTTGGTATAACAGTTAAAATTTAACTGATAGTAGATGATAGTTAGTTAGTAACGGATGATAGATAACAAATAATAAATAGTATATTTTGATTTATACAATCATTTAATTAGACAATAATCAGTGGTTTTTATTTGATATTAAATGACTAATAAATATATATTTAAAAGTAATTAGGCATATTTTTCTTTTTTTATTATTATTAAAATGATTAATTTTATAAAATTAATGACAATAAATAAATAAATAAAATATAAAAATGTGAATTACACACTCATTTTTATTTTTATGAGGAAAAAATTATATTTTTTCAAATAATTAAAAAGGCAAACTTTAAACCGCAGTTTCATCTAATTTTCAAATTCTATATATTAAGTAATATAAATTTTTTGATGATAAGTTAATGTAAAAAATAAAAATATAATAACTACTTAATATTATTAAAGAGAAAAAATAAATTTTAAACCAATTAGATAAGTGATAATTAAAGATCATAGTGGAAATTTTAAAAATTAAAAGAATAAAATTATCAATAAAATTTTAATTTACTAGCGGTATGTACTTAATCGGATCCTCTAGCTCTAAATTAATAAATAAAAATTTTACCAAATACTTAGTTTATAACAATTTTAAAATAAATGAATTTATGCCAACGACTTAAGTAATTAAGTGGTAATTTCTTTTTGTTAAAAATAAGAGATTCTGAGTTTCAGTTGTATGGCATGCGAGTGGAGTGGAATAAAGAATGGAAGAGGGTTACCTCCCGTTATGCAACTAACATAAAAGAAAAAGAAAAAAGAATTTATCAAATATCAACCTTGTGACTATTTAAGTAAAACCACGAAATATTACCCAAACTATTATACCAAACGAAACTTTAATCTTTTTTGGGATTTAATTTCCATTGTGTAAGAGTATTTTTTTATTATTATTATTTGGACGTCCATGGGATATTCAGGTTAGCTTTCTTGTATTTTGAGGTTAACCTCTTTTAAGTAAATTCTTCCTCTCAAGGCAATTTTAAAAATTCACATGGTCTCAAAGACTTAAACTCTAAAGTTATTTATGACATTTATTTACTAATGAAAAAACATTAATAAAATTAGAGGTCAAGAATATTTGTAAACTTTCAAACAAATCAAGCATCAACACATGCAATTGATTCAAACTTAAGGTGAAGATGAAAAAGGAATAAGGAACAACAAAGGAATCAATGCACTAACTTGAAAAGGAATTAATGTACAGTACAGGGAAGGAAATCTTTTCTATTTTTTCTCCCTATCAATAATAATTAGTGTAATAAATAATCTGAAAAAAACAAAGATTTGGATACACCAAGAATCTGTACAAGTATACTTTCATCAGAAATCCAATATCTTTTCAACCAAAGTCATTAATCAATCACCCTAATGGAGTACTTCTAGATTGTTTAATTTCTAAATTCGTATAATTAACCTAAGAAAATACACAGAAATTAATTTCAAGAACTCATGATGATATCATTAAATTAGTAGTCCCATAAACATTCCAAATCTTCCATGTCTTCTTCATAAGTTTTGCTGCTTCCAATTTCGTTCCTAGACGAAATCTCGTTGTTAATCTCAGTACTGAGTCCAGTATCCTGGGAAAGAGTTACCATAGACGGCTGGTTAGAAGAAAATTGTTCCACTTTGCACTGCCTGGTGTCTGCCTTATTTTATTAATTATTAATTATTTTTTTGCTACATTAAGAATTAAGCATGTCTAGAAATGGTTATACCACAATCAACTGTGTATAATAAATCAATGACAATTTGATACATTTATAATCTATTGATGCATGCAAATTCAAGATTGAATGAAAATACCAACTTTATTATTATTATTATTATTATTATTATTATTATTATTATTATTATTATTATTATTATTA